TGAATGTGGAGTTGGTGAGCTGAGAGAGAAAAACTGACGCAAAGTGCTACCCCACCCCCTACCAGCATTCCTGTCATTGCGAAACAGCATGGCATTGGCGACTGCAAGCTCCTGATTTGACATTTCGGGAGAAACCCATGTCTCAGTAGCACCAATAAAGTGAGCATAAGTGACCTACCTTAGTTCCGCAGTTCGTCTAGTTTATTCAGCAAGCTATGAAAATCCGTGTAGATGCAACTTATGCATTCTGCTTAGAATGCAGTGCATGAACCCGCCTTATTCCTCAGTTAGCTGGCCGAACCCTCAGGCGTGGGGGCTGGGAACCTGCCTAAGTATTGCCTACCAGTGCAATGTTCCCCACCATCTCCCATTTCACAGGCACAGCTAGCGCCAATGTTTTCTGTTTTCTCTGCAGCCTCTCGTTCTGCTACCCAACAGGTCGCATGAGGACTCCAAGTGGCAGGCTATTTCTGTTCGTCCAGAATGTCTCCAGTGTGGATGTTGCCATTGGAGAAGCTGAAAGGACCACTTCGATCAGCCTTGGTCTGGGGCACTCGCCTTTTTCGGGCATGAGTAAAACACTTTGTGTCATTACCTCCTTGGGGTTCATAGTATTCTTAAGGAACTTCCACTCGCGAGAATCGTAGTGAACGTCTTTGGCCCCTGGGTTCCCTGGCATGCCTTATATTATTAAGTTTCTTCCTCTAAGGCGGGCATCGCGATTGTCGCTCGACATTTCCTTCACAGCCATTCTCTCAGAGTCTGGGATTTCTATTAGTGTCGTTACTTCTCATTCGGCTTTTAGGACGTGAGTTGCCACGATCACATCTTGTGGGTTGGATTGTGAGCCTTAAGAGTCGGGGCTTGTCTTTAATTATTTGATAGGGACCACGTGGCAGCCTAGCCGCAGCTGCTGGTTTACTGTGGTCAGGTTTGCGTTTTCCGCATATGTTCTCCCCCGGAACACCATTTTTGTCCTATAGGCTGTCTAAGGGATAAGGGCTGCCTTCAAGGCTCACGCCGTACGTACGTTGTGCTTCAAGAAGGTGATCTGATTCATCGCGGCTAAGTACCCCACCACGAATTCCGTTTAAAACTTTATTTAGTATACTAGACTCGATGGAGGAAGGCTAGATACCAACTAACTATCGCTGGCCGTAAAAGAAGGCTGATTACAGTGTCTTTTCAGTTTCCGGCCTACAAGTTTGGGATAAGGAGGTTGAAAATGTCAATAGTTGGCTGAGCAAAAATGTCCTCAAGGGACGATGACAATCCTGAATGCAAGGAGCCGGGAGTCGGGGATTTTTCAGATCTAAGATTGCAAAGTAACTGCAAATCTGCATTCTTTGTTGTGTGCACTTTGCTGTTTGGGGAAGGAGTACCGAATCTGCCGATAAGCATTTTACTTTTCTGATCTAACGAGGAAGCTTCGCTACGGCATTCCAATAAGCACCCAGGTCCAGACAGACTAAATTCCTCAAAACCAGCAGACTCCTGATTTGCCGCAAGAAAGTTGATTCTTTCTGTCCTTTTCATCTTTCTGTTAGTGATTACGTACAGTTTCTTATCACACTTTATCGGTCACTAACAAGCCGTTTCTCATATGATATTCAAGACAGTGTGGTCAAAGCTTCACATAGATTACGGACCCTTCATCACTTAGCTTTAACTGCTCCAGGTCAAGTTTCCAGAGACTAGTTCATAAATGTTTCCTCCGAATAGTTTTGGGTTATCCCCAGTGAACTGCTGTGAGTGATGTGAGGGTCGACTTGAAAAAAATGGCGTTTCTGCCTCCTAGAATTTGGTTTCAAACCCATTCCAGAAGTTCCTGGCGGTTAGGTCATAATTATTAGTGTAACCTTTATTAACTGTGAGATTTCCTGTTCCCAAAGTATCTGTCAGACTCGAACCTTCGAAAAGCAAGTGATTGTAGCACACGATCGCCATTCGTTAACTTGGGGAACTACCGTAAAATCTATATAATACTCACACAAGAGGGTTAAGACAAAATCTAATCACAAAGGCCTATGTATCAACTCCCAATTTTTGCACCAGTAATTCTGTAACTAAAGCAGTTACCAGTACCGTCAGAAAATCACTTAAGAGGCAACTGACTGGGCCGAGATTGTAAACCATGTACAGCCTAATAGCGCATCGTTCAGGTCCGAAAATAATAACCACTCGTTACTCCCACCACAGTTACTTGTATGAGTTAGGACGAAGTAACTTCCAAAGTGAAATGGGCTGCGGCAAATCGCCTAAGTCGTAAAGATGGCCAACTTTTACTTCAGTCTGTGAGTGATAACCTGGCGGGGAAAACACTGATGCGCTCTAAAGTTACGGATCGCAAGCAGGGGTCAACAAGAACATAAAGTGGTACACGATTACCCTTGTGACCCAAACACAAGAATAGCCGATGCGAAACCGGGCAAAGCCTAAGATCATTACTGCAGGGGTTTAAACAGCCGCTGCTGCGTCAGTACCTATTTCATGAGCTGAACTACCCGGCTCCGTCGTTTTATTTCCAACGCGATAAGCTGCAGTGTTGTACGCGTCAGAAAGTACCGCGATCCATTCATTCAGTTCTCGGAAGTATTCACATTTCGGAACCACAAACACACTCATTCTGTGATTATCTTCCTCATTCTATTGTAGAACATTTAATTTGGTGACTACCCTTATGAAACATAACCCATCCTCGATAGGTCAGTTTGGTTTGATAAGTATCTTCAAAATGACAGAAAATGGTTGAGGCGTTCAGGTAGAAAGCCCGTTGTCTTCGTGCCCTGGAGACACCGCAAGAATTTCTCTGAGTCAGAATTATTTTCTCCGCCCCATCAAATTTGCAATCCAAAATAAACACAGAAAAATTCCAAGTGACAATGGAGAACCGTTCAACAGGTTCAAACACACGTGTTTCGCTCTGTAAATGTAGACTAGTTGTTTCCATGCAATACTCTAAGAGGTTGTCTTCTTTCCATTATTTGAGCGTTACACAAAGCAGCCATAGCACATGGGTCGCTTTAGTTGCAGGACAATTGCAACTTGCGGTTGTTTTCAAATTGTGACTTGTGACAACTCCTAGGTAACTTTGTTGTAACATTGGGCGCATGGTAGACCGCTCACTGAGCGGCCACTCCAAATGTCCATTGCCACGCTTTTGCTGCAGTCAACTTCCAGACCCCATAGTTTCGACCGTCCAAGCAACTCATCAAGGTCAGCTCGAAGTGTAGACCTTTCGCGATCATCACCACTAGTGGCCCTCTATATCCTGGAGCCAGTGGTGGATAGCAACGATGACCCATTCGCTCTTGATTTTCCATTAAAGTTGGGAAGGGGAGAAGTGGTCTGAGGATAGTGCTTTGAGGGGTAGCACTGGTGACAGGCTAGCACTCATATAGTATTCCATTCAACCTTATTCCTCAGCTCCTGTCACCCGAATACTCTCCAATTCAGACTACAGCTTCACTGTTAATACGGAGTTTGTGAGGCCTCTTCACCAACCCCGTGCGAGACACTTTTCTCGGGAGCCGTGATAAGGCCAATGGAACACCACATCGTTGGGGAGCTTCTCCTTCTTGATCTTGACCCAGCTCTCCCTCGCTAGCGGTAGGTTTGTCAAACAAGAGTGTCCGGTCCACAAGCCACTCCTCTGCTGTGAGTAGATTGCGTGTTTCCAAATGCCCTAGTATCTTGTCACATGTTGTTTTCGCCACTCCTCCAACCAGGACGCTAATGAGATTACCAGGTCGGTGGTTGGCGACTAAGGGTCTGTCACCTACCTTAAACACAGGACCAATTACAGCGCCCTTCCAATTCTTGGGTGGTTGGGCCCTAGGATGAAAGCAAACTCAGGGAAGCAGTTTGGGTGTGTTACATGCGTCTGCCAATGGTATCGGAACTTCTAGTCGTAGTCCATTCGGGTCGAGTGGCTTTCCAGAATCTAAGTTTTCCAGCGGTCATAAGACTTCCCTCTAAGTGACTCGAGTGGATTTTACTTAAGTAGTGTTTTATTAATTGACTCTCTGCGAGCTCGACAGACGGATGGGCTAGTCGCCAAGCGTTTGTACTTACAATGTATCCACGTGATTGTGAGGCCGAGGAATGTCTCAGTATAACAGCCGGAGGGAATGATTAACTTGGTAGAGTGTGCCAATATACCGAAGTGCTCCAGCTAGCCGGCTAGGAGATCGCGTACTAACAACACAATATAACGTGGGAACATGTCAAATGACGTGGATGATTAACCGTGTACCTCAATCCTGGCGGTTCCACCAAAACTAAGAAGGTTGGCATCAGTACTGAACCATGGAGAATTATTTATCGCTACAGTGTAATGGTGGTATATTGACTGGACTCCGATCACAGTTGTCAACAGAAAAACACCATGCCAAAATATTTAGATGAGTTATCCAATCTAGCCAATGCTGATTTCGATTCACGTTCCGCTTCGCATTTTGATGGCAGGTAACGCCAATTTACTGTTTTACGCCCTCATCTTCTCATTATGTGGGAATATCGGTCTGAAACAGAAGAAGCAATTATCGAGTGACAGCGTAACATAAGCTCCAGCGTTCAGGTTTATGATGGGTTTACATTTCTGCTCAGCCCCGGAATATTCCCACTTAAAATTTTCGCCACCTTTCCCTATTAATAAGGCGGGGATGCATTTGGTACGTTTCAATAAAGCTCGAGTCTGCCATTTAACCCAATGTGGTCTCTGAGAAGGTTTTCGAGAAGCAGTCTGAAACTTCGTGAGAGATACCCTGACGTGCAATCGAATGATCTCCGATTGGAGTACTGATTCTCGGATATATTTGTCAATTACTGAAACTCGGTACATGGCAATTCCTTCGGTGAGCGCATTTGAGGAGTTGCTGGATTTCGGTAGAGATGGCTATTTCGATGAATAACCCGGACTAGAATTGTACCTCAATTTACAATGGTGTCGGAAGACTAATTGTTTTTATGCGTTGCGTCAAGGTTGTTCAGAACAGGCGATGCTCCAAACACTACCACTTAATATGCTTAAATGGTCAAAGTAAGTTTTTATGCTGCAAAGTGTTGGAAAACAGTAAGATTCTACCTTCTAGGGGGCGTATCTTCTCATTCTTTTCGGTAGAGGGTTTTAGGTTCGGCCTTATTCCTGTTATTTCAATATACTGTTATTTGAACTGCTTCCCTTAGTGCTAACAGGGTTTTTCCTAAAAACAAGGTTGCTGTTATGAGTGCAGAAAAGTTCTTATTTGTGTTTTTCGCTTATTCCTGTAATTGATGCTCACCACAACAACCTTCATTCTTGTATTCACGATAGGCCTTTTGTCACTGGTGGTATGGGTTGGTATTGTAATCAGCAATAATATAGAAAAATACCTCAAATAATTATTTAATTAAGTGATTTTGTTGATTCACGCAAGAAGCAACACAAAGCATACGAACATGTATACTGTGCAATAATGTTTTAAGCGATGGGAACGTGTCTGCATATTTGACTGAAGTAGTTAGGACCATTACTTTGTTTAGCTGTTTTTTGTTCGTGAGATAATTATCAGTAGTCTTCAAAGTAGATAGTATTTTATGAACTTTGGGATACAAAAAAGTCAGATCAATGAGCGGTGTCACGTATAAATTCTGATAACAAGTAGAATTTCGGTATAGTTAGACTGCAATCGTCTCTGTTACGTTATTTGGTGCCAAATGAGTTCTTCTGCAGGACTTTGTTTGGTTTTGGCTGAATTAATGTTTGGCTTGGCCAGTCCGCCCAAATTACCCAAAATGCAAGGTGAATCTAGATTGGGTTTTAACTTTGAGTCACTTTCTGAATTCTCGCCCACTTATTTTGAAACTAGTGTAGATGAATTGTATAGTTTCTGGCACTGTTGATGTATGATTTGGTCGATGGGTTTTGCAGGGACGTCACTTTTCATTGTGTCAACGGAAGTTGAGTTTAAGCAAACGGTGTGAACATGGCAAAATTAAACTTGTTTGTCGCACTGACGTCCTAGTATATCATAGTTCACTGGCACTCTTCAAATATGCAGAGTTGGATTCATAATCACTTCGTTTTCCACATAACAGAACAAAGGATCATTCATAGTAGAGTATGTTAACCTTTCGATCTTTTACTAGCACTATACCTAATTCCCTCAGTCATGATGCATACAACGTAATATTTTTTCATGAGTATAAAGGTAACCTTTTCAGTGGACAAATCTCTGTTCGTTGACTTCACCCCGCAATAAACCCTGCGAGATAACTCACACTTATTCACCTTCTTTGGAGTCCAGGTAAACATTTTCGCGGAGAATTATTCAGTTCCGTTACCAACGGAATAATTGATAAGCTATCTAGAAATAAGTGAAATATATCTGTAAGATACCAAGGAAGTAGAGACTTTATTCTCGGAAGAAGCGTTCTCCACAAAGTCGTGAAACGTTAGATTTTTGTTTTTATACCTCATTGGGACTTCACAAATATGTTTCACTTGTAATCCATTCACCTAATACTCAGCTTGTTAAATTCTATCCGATCAGATTTTGGTCCTGAAGTTTGTAAAACTAGAAATACTTTCAGAGCAGAAGTTTAAATGAAGTCAGGCCATATCTATCTAGCTTTCCGATGAGAAATTGTAGCAGATAGATGCATCAGTTACAGTCACCATATTCGACACGTTGATGCGAAATCGCAAAATCCATGTGATCACATAATTCGTTTGTATTTCTCCTTCATGAGGAGTTGCATTTAAAATCCTAGTTTCATGATTTGGTAACAAAAATATCGTATCTGCTCATCCTTTTGTTTTCACGTTTTACGATTTAGGTCATTAGAAAAGCAAACTGTTGTCTACTTAGAAAGTCATATCAATAAATGTGCATCTTTCTAAGTTTTAACGCTTCTCAGTAGAACTAGACGTGGGAATATATAGAACTACTGTACAGTTTAATAGTGAAGTTACTGTGACGAACTATTCCTTTGCTGCTAAAAATCTTGTTCTTATTCAATGGCAAATAGGTATATTTTGTCAGATAAGCGTAACAAAAGTAGGAAGTATACGAGAGGAGAGAGCGAAGCAGTGACAAGTAATATTGCAACTTTTGGTCGTAAACGACCATATCTGTGCCAGTGTGATGAAATATACTGTCTATAATGTTTCGTATACTTGACGTGGCTCTGCTCTTGGAAAGGACTACTGAAACGTTTTTGGAATTACTTTGCGCAGTTTCTGGTTTTCGCTGAGTTAAATTTCCCTCCCACAGTTGTATGATCTTAGCCGATCTAGCGAATACATTTTAACAAGGTTGGAAAGTCGCTACGATACAGTGATTACGTTTTTTTAATTCACTTTTGAAAATATTGGTCACAGCTCTACGGTGAGACATTTAGATGTGATATGTATTCGTAAAACTTGGAGAAATATAAACTGCTGCAGCGAAGCTGTAAGAGTGGTAAAAACTGGCGTAGGACACCTGTTCATTTCCCACAGCTCCTTGCATTTTGACAGCTATGATTAAATTCCATTCTCATTATTTTCTTAATTTTTGTACATCACTGTAATCAGGGCCCTATTCTCTTCGCCTGGCATTCTCACTGCATTTCATAGCTTACATTTATTATTGAGAAGCATTTAGACTTGAATAATTGACGTTACAGAGGAACCAAAACGTCTTATGGTAGGTTCAAACGTCATCTGGTTTGAGCAACTGATTAGCAACTTATGGAAATATTTGTGGATTTTGACCAAGTTTATAAATATGTAACTCAGCTAAGGTGCATTATCATCATAATAGCAGTTTAAGTGCCGATGTGCAGTAGGCCTTCAATCAATTAAAGTAAGTGTAGATTTTATACTGATTTTCAACAAATGACTATCTAATTCGTGGGATTTTTATTGTTTTTTAGGGATAAAAAGGAAGAACAGCCTAGTGATTGGCCAAAATTTGCAGAACATTTGGAGCACTGTGTTGAAGATGTGCGACGAGTAGCAAGCGAAACCCACAGGGGTCTGGTGCAACATATTCTCATTAGCAAAAAAAATGTATGTCGCCTGTTTTACAAAATTCTTCGTTTGTCTAGCTTTCTCCATAGCTTTTTAACACATCCTATAAATGCAGAATGAAAAATATTTTCCATTGAATCATTTATTTATGTCAATTTTTTTATCCACAAGGGTTTTTTTCTGAATAGTTTCGCTTTCTTTGTCAGTTACGTTAACAGATTTATTCTCCATAAGTCTTTTATGAATCTGACTAAAGGATCATTTCACATTTTGTCTGTACTCTGTACGCCATCGAAGAAGGCATGGTTTTGCTACCAGCAAACAAGTTGGTTTGTTTCAAAAAAGTTAGGTCTATGGCTTTGAAGATTGCGAAGTGGTTCATCTGGGAGGTGTAATTTACCTCCATAAGATATTTCAAACAATTTTACTACACATATATTTGTCAAGACATCCTATTTGAACAGTTGAAATGGAATTAATTTGGGTGAATCATTTGAGCTACTAGATTTGAAACTGTAAACAGCGTGGGGTAAGAACAGTATGTGTTCAATATACTTTCAGTAATGCGATGAAATAGATGTTTAAAGGGAGGAAATTTTGTCTTGGGATGAGCAAGGTTACGTGAGGTTTAACATTTTGTATGACTCCATCCATCCAAATCAACATAGGATCAGTAAATAATACTAGTAAACAATAACAGTAAATCAAATAGGCAAATCTAATATGGAATTCAATTCTACACAGTGCCCAAGTTTTACACCTATATTAACATAGGACCAGGCGTTACTGCGTAACCGTCCGAGTTGCCGCAGCTCATATCAGTACATCAAGTAAAAAGGTAGTGAACTGGAAGATGAAGAAAAGAAAATTCAGTCAAAAGAAATATACCGTACTAAAAAAGAGAAAGAAAGAATGGGAAAATGACGAGATAAAGTATAGCGTTAAGATGAGGACAATGTGTGTATACATCTGCGCTACTGACATCGATTCCAAGCCATATAACCTTGAGTCTCCGACCACTAGTTTCTCTTGTCCCACGGACCTCAACCAGCTAGTCTGCATTGCCCACCCTACATGGCTCAAACGAACAGTCAAAGACTTCATACACTGATGCCATGTTTTAGTCTAGCCACCTGGAGCCTTTTTCCAGCCTGAACCTACTTTGGCCAACATTGTGCGACAAGGCAGACGGCGACAAGGCATAAGCAACACATTTCCCAACCATCTCAGTCGTTGAGGCTTCACAACCGTGTCAACTGACTTACCTCTTCTCCCTAAAACTCTACGTCTGACTTCTGCGTTACTCACGTGGTGACACCACGAAACACGGCCTATGCTACGAAGTCAACGGTGGTCAAACACCTGAAGTCTTCTCATGTCATCCACCTTTAATGGCCATGTTTCAAAGCCATACAGTAGAACAGAGTGAACTGTTACGCAGTATACGTGATTCTTAATAGACAGTCGGATATCACGGTAGCGCCACAGGTGGCGTAAGTTGACAAAAGCCAGCCGAGTCTTTGCATGACTAGTATATTCATAAACTGAAAAATAAACACATAGGTGATAACAACTCCCTGCTATCTGTAAGTATCACGGCAGTAGTACTGAGTTATGGTTATTTAAACACTTGTTCCACCAAACTCGAACGGTCTAGCTGCTCCTCCCTGCATATACCAGTAAATACATGTGACACGTAACAGGTGTATTATGCGAAATACGACGTTATCATATATATGGTGTTGAAGTTCATGTTGAAGCATAGCTTTTGTCATCCAATGGATGATCAGCATGAATTTAGAAAGTAAGCCTTCCTGACTTCTGTTTTTAAATATGGTTGAATTCCCCTTGTATGATGTACAAATATTTTCCCGGACAATATACAGAACAGGTCTCGAAGCAAAGGAATTGAGTGTAATCAAATTTCTGATTGGTGTTGGTGAGTTGTGGATCCACCTTTGTTTTTTGTATCAGTACAAAAGTTAGCGTATGTTAATGCCTACCGTGTTTGCTGACTACTTACTGTCGTCTATCATCGTACAATGATTGGCTTGAAGTACTTTCTTATCTATGGTCATTATTATTTTATTATTAGTCCCTTGGGTTCCTAGTGGAACATAGGGCTTCAGTAGCACGTCTCCAGTGACCTCTGTTCTCTGAGATCTTTTGAACCTGGTTCCACGACAGCCCACAAGCTCTCATTTCCTCCTCGCACGACCTCCTCCATTTCACCCTTGCCTCGGACGTCCAACTCGTCGCTTCCCATGGGGATTCCACTCGAGGGCCTGGCCTGACGCGTGATGTCCTCAGTCGGCCTTCTCAGTGCATGGCCAATCCATCTCCATTTCTTCCTGCATATTTGTTGGGTGATAGGTTCTTGGTTGGTTCGTTCCCAGAGCTCCTTGTTGCTTATTCTTTCTGGTAATCTATCTGATCTTCAGTACCGAGCCAGAGTAGGCAGTTGTTGATGAATATCTGTAGTTTATTGGAAATGCCTTTCGTGACGCGCCAAGTCTCTGAACCATACAGGAGCACTGACTTGACGTTGGTGTTGAAAATCCGTATCTTGTTCCTCATGCTGAGTGCAGAAGATCTCCACACTGGTTTCAGGCTAATGAACGCCTGTCTTGCTTTTCCGATTCTGACTTTGACGTCCTCGTCCGTCTCGCCTGTAGTTGAAACAGTGCTTCCTAGATAGATGAAGGAGGTTACTTCCTTCAAGTTTCTCCCGTTGACGGTGATTGGAGTTTGTTGTTGTTGTTGATGGTGGTGGTGCGGTATCTTCATCACATCTGTCTTCTCTATATTCACTTGAAGACCCGTCTTCGCTGCCTCTTCTATCAACTTGTTAGTTTTTGCCTGCAGATCTTCAAGTTTGTGTGACATCAGGCACAAGTCATCGGCGAAATCCAAGTCTTCTAGGTTCTTTTCCGTCGTCCAGCGTATCCCCCTCTTCTCGCTGCCTATTGTTTGCTGCATGATCCAGTCCACCACAATAAGGAATATCATGGGGGATAGTAGGCAACCTTGTTTCACTCCTGTCTTCACTTCAAAGGCATCACTGAGCTTCCCATTGTGGATTACTTGGCCGGCATGTGGCATCTTCATATAGTTGTTGAATGAGGCGGATAAAGGTTTGCCGTACTCCATAGTAGTGAAGCAGTTTCCAAATTACTTCTCGGTCGACGCTGTCAAGGGCCTTCTCAAAGTCGATGAAGTTGAGGTAGAGAGCTGATTGCCATTCTATGCTCTGTTCTATGATGATGCGTAGTGAAGCGTTGCAATTTGGTCTGCACATGATTTGTACTTCCTGAAGCCTGCTATCTATGGTCATTACTATCATGTATCTGTAAACCTCATTTTAGTGTTGCACTAAGCTTCAACAATTGTAGGATGTTGTCAAACCTATTTTGTTGTATGAATTTCGAAGCTGGGTAATATATAGTATAAGAGTTAGAGGGAAATTGCATCTATATTCATTTCAAGTGATTTACGATTAAAGATGCATCAGTAATGCATTCACGAGTGCGGAACCTTTAGACGTGCAAAACAAAGAAATAACTATCATTACTTTCCAAAAAGTGGCCATCGGTATTTACTCGCTAACTATTCGTCCTTTTAAATGTGAGTGATTCCTTTGGATTAGGAGTGTTGATTGTCTACCTGGTTGCTGTCGAACAGTACTTGAAATGCAGATCCCTTTGAAGTACTTATGACTGTGTTTTATGGATGCAATGCACATATTACAACAATCTTCTGACAATATGATAGGACTTTAAATGATGAGAATCTAGGAAAGCTTTACGATTAATTAGACTTTGATTGTTAGATATATTATTTGAATATGGAAAAATATAACAAGTTGGATTGTATCGTGTACTGTCTCACAAGGCCTGTTCAGGTTCATTTTGTGTCTCCATCTACTCAGTTATTTTATCGATGAAGACTCCCACAACCAATTCCTCAACTGTGCACGTTTTGGATGTCAACTTGGGACTGAAAATCACACAGTGAAAGCATTTTTTTGTCAATCTGACAGGATATCTTATTACATTAACTGGATGTTATCAAAACTAGTAGTATTACTTTTATGTGTATGGTAGAACCACTAAGTAAGCAGCACTAATTTTAGGAGTTGAATGCGTCCAGTTGATGAGGTGATGAGTCAGTAGATGAAGTTTTACAGTTTCCTAATTACGGTGGTTGGGGTATATTTTGATCGTATCCTTTCACCTCCTACCTTAGGGCAGTACAGATGGTGATACATTATGTTTCATGATTGATACTATTTTCCTGTTTTGTTAGAAAAAATACCTGAACAGCTGCTGTCAGCAGTTCTAAAAGAATCGGTCGATAAATCTAATGCAGATGACAAACTTTTTGTGTAAGTAACCATCTTGTATTCCTGTATTTTTGCTTTTTTGAAAAACGGTTCCTACTCATTTGAAATCCTGTGTTTGTTTTCCAGCTAAAGTTGCTTGTTGCAAAGGTGAAGTGTCGAGAGTAGTTGAGATGTGGTATTGTGTGTTGAAAGAGTATGTAGCGGGCTCGCCCCAAAGGACATACTAAGGTGTCAGATTTAAAACGTGGGGAAACAAGTGAGATGGCGGAATATGAAGTGGTTTGAATGGTGCTTACAAGAATGACTTGTTTTCTTGATAATAAAGTTGGAAACAGAAAAACTTTCTGACTTTTGAAGTTGACTTGAACTATGCCTAATTTTTCACAAAAAGTGGCGAAAAATATGCAAATTTCTCACAGAATTTATTTCCATTACCTTGATTCTCAATCGACAGGCGGAATTTCTTAGGAGTTTATTGCTGTTATCATTGTTCAGTCTGTTTCATCGCCTTCAATCCAGGGAGAAAATAAATGAAAGCCCCAAGATATTCTCAGACCGGTGAATATGCATTTTCTTTGAATATGTCAGCCATCCGCAGTAAAGACGTGTTGGCACTATTTACCCGGGTAATTAGTAATGATATAAGGCACATCTTTTAGATAATAAGTAGTTTGCTGAAATATGTTAATATTTATTGATTTCAGTGCATAGTCGTTTAGCCCTGAAATGTATGAACAATATATGGAATGAACGGATATCCCTAAGTAAATGGTTCTGCAGGATGAGTCGAAGATTGTATCTTTGATAAAACAGTAGGAAGGATGTTCAGCAAGGCGATATTAACACAAGGTGCGGTTCTGGTAGCTTAGATATATGGAATAAAAATACATGAAAACAGCTGTGGTTGGCCAGTTGGATTCGGAGATACAAACCGCATGAGTAATTTGTGGGGGGTGGATAAAGGGACGTTTCTGAGGTGAAATTAACGTATACTGACGCTTACGATTAGGAATTCGATCGTGATAGTAATCTCCCATCCCTTTTCGAAGTCACCTCCGAACACGCGACTTGCTATCGTAGGCAACATGACTTTCCCTCGCTAGTAATGATGTCTAACATTTGTGCTTATGTTGGTACTCTACATGTGCGGGAAGCCATTCTACAAGAATGACAAGCCCTATCCCATAGCGACACAGAATCATTTGCAAAGATTCTAAAATCCAGATTGAAATCTTCTAAGTCCAAGATAATGAAATGTATTATTAGATAGTACACGATGACTATGAGCGAATTGTGGACATCTTCAGTAACCACTTCGCTGCCTTATTAGTAAATGAAAGTAATGCATTTGGGATAGAATGGTCAACAGTAACTTCCTCTAGGATCAAATATGTGAGGTTCACTGTAAAAAAATATTTCTGCAGGAATTAACACCCTGAAACTTCGTTTCACAGATGGTTTATATGAGATATCTGCTGTTTTCCTTAAAAACAGAGGGGAAGACATGCGTCTCTTACTCCGGAAGTTATCTTCTTTGTCACCCATCCATCTGAAAAACTATATATGTCCGTCCCACTTATAAATCCGGACCGAATGCATATTTAGATAATTTACCGTGTAGTTAGTCTAACGTTTGTTCACAAAAGTTAGTTAGAAAATTCAGCGAATGACAGAAATTTCCTCACAGATTGTAATTCCATAACTTTGATGCACAACCGGTAAACAGAAAATCGAATCAACTTCACATGTAGACAACTACAACTATCGACACCTATTAGTTTCCCTACTTTGTTTTGAGCAGTGTGTAAGGCGAGAGAATATAGTTTTGCTGTATGAGGTTTCCTATGGAGGTTTTCATTTCACTAACTTGGTTCCTTTTGCATGGTAACAATAAGACAATTATTTTAAAGACTCCTAATGAGCCAGTTTGACTTAAGTTTTTGTTATTATTTGGCATATCATACAGTATTATGTTGTGGACACAATTCACTGTTGCTACAAGAACTGTTCCATCGTCTAGAGATGCTTTCATGACCGTAGTGAAAACTGGTGATCACCTGATGATACTTGACGATGAGCAATTTGTATCGTGAATTAAATGAAATGAGAAAGTATATACGCTACCAAATAGATTGATCGAGTAATAATGTAGCTGGTGGAAAGCACAAAGATTTTGTATGCATCTTTGTAGAGTTATCTGTTGGCATTTCTGAGCATATCCAAACTGGGATAAAACAAATGTTCTATGTTTTATTGAACTTTGGGTGAGATCATTTTACGGCTGAAACGATCTTCATCTTAGTATTATTTTATTGATATAATTCACCTATCATTCGTGTATCACCTTATTCCTATCCATAGGTTGTGGTCTTATAACTGAAACCTTTTTGAAGGTTGAAAAGTTAGATAAATAGTAAAGAATGCTTCGGAACAATGTTTTTCCTGGTTATGATCCACAGGGCCCTAGTCGCTTTCATCGAAATATCAATTACCTCTGTTTATCATGTATCTTGAGATTTTCAAGTTAAAGGATTGACATATTCAGTCAAATTATCATTGTTTGGGAGATACTTATAACGGTTGATATATATATATATATATATATATATATATATATATATATATATATATATATATATATCAGCCATATGATTCGCTCGATGATTGTTTCCTTTATTCCTACCGTTTTCTTTTTCTGAAGAGTAGATGTCGTAAATTTCAAGTGCAGTATACAGTCATTAAAACTGTCTGAATTCATTTTAGTATTCTGATAAATTAAGAAATGTTAATTAAGTCTTCCACTGTTAGAGCCATATTCAATCTTAATTTCTACAACTATATACTCCAGTTTATAGATTAAAGTTTACTGTCTACAAACAAATGTTGCCCTAAAAAGTGTAAGAAAGGAAACACAAGCGTTGATACTACTATTACATAGCTGACCCCATCTCTAGTAGTGTAAGAATCTTTTGAAAAGCAAAATTCAGATGTTTGAACGTTTTTACCAATCCACTTATTTTAGCAAGTTACACCGTATGTAAATGCTGCTTTCAAACTTCCTGGTGTGACCTGAGTGGAGTTCATGAGAGGCTTGGTCCTCGTTTTCAAAAAAAGAGAAGATATTCACCGCTTACACGTGATGCAGGTTCATTTTACAAACGAGAAAATTTGATGTAAACGATCATTGGCAGTTTACATAGGGGGGACTGGTAAACTTTGCGAACCAAAAAAGAGTGTAGATTATATAACCTTTATAAAATAGGTGACAGTGCAAGTGGCAGTATCAGATATTGTTCCAAAACTTTGTCGATAACAATTTCGACTGAAATAATCAATAAATGACTTCATATTATGATCACCTACTTGGAGTTGAGCTTCCAGAAAGTTTAACAGCCGTCATACAAGTAGTGATGGGAAATCCAACTACTTGAGCTGTTATTAATCAAATTGTCTCATTATTACTCCAGTTCATCACATTACTGTCAATAATATCATCCTGCAAACTTGTTATCATAGGTGCTCAGTTTTCCTGGTACGCTCTAAGCTGTGTGGCCGGAACCGCAGTATTCAGGCTGCATGCTTACTGAAAGTCACTTATGTTTTTCAAAAAGTTTCAAACAGACCCAAGAGCAAGCTGTAAATGAGAACGACGCCTTTCTCTATGTGGATTTTATATAGCAAACAGGGATACGGTATTATTTCATGGATAACGTTTTGGATGCAAATTATTATCCGCGGTCACATGTTGGCCGGTCTAGTAGCCGAATAATCCAAAGAAATTATAAGCATCAACGAATAGTCAAACGACATGATATATGATCATTGATATCTGTGCATGTAGGTGAGTACAATCGCACCTTCGATTGGGACAGGGTGGAAATACGAAGAAAAAAGGGAACTCAAAAACTGCAAGTGAATGGTATTCCAATCAAATAGCAATCAATAGACATACGAACTTTGATTTAATATACGGACTACTAAGGGGGAATCAGCCACCTGAAAATCGTTCAAAGCAGTCAATAATCAGACACTAGGTCAACAGCATAGATCATACGATAACGACAGCCCTGCAGGTCAACCTATGATTAAGAAAGACAGGTTATTCCTACCAACAAGCCGGAAACGCTTAAAGTCGGTAAATATCCTTAATAAATATTCATGCAACTTGAAAATGCTTTAGGTCTTTATGGAGTGAATGCTGACGAAGCTGCCTAGCTTGGTGATGAAACGTTCAAGAGCAAAATCCGAATCTTGTAGAACGCCAACCAATTATGATAAAGCTTGTGTATATCTGTACAATTTTGACTGAATTCGAGCTATGTCACCAAAAGGCTCCAGCCATTGACTTTCGTCTTCTCAAGGATCCATTTGGCATAGAAAAGCAGTCAGGATTGATGGATTGGTAACACGCCTTAATTTGTCTGTCATTGGCTTTGTTTTGACCTAATCCTACTTCAGTTCAGCTGCCCACATTTGGGGCTGGTTTTCTCTGTCTGTCTACATATCGGGTTAGGTGATGGTTTGACATGCGTAACACATATTCAATCCTCTCCAGTCACTGGTGTTTCACAATCGCATCAACTTACCCTCTTTGTCTAGTTATTATATGTGACCTCACCACCACCCACATGAAGGTTTCAGCGCGTGCCAGAAATGCCAAGACACATCTATTATCAAAAACCTGTAACCTTACTTATACTGATTTCAACGACCATTTTGCACGGCTGTGGAGTAAAGTTGAGCAACCTAGTGTGCTCTGTACTCGTTCTTTGATAAATATCTGGCTTTCTTACCGATATCAAAGGTTAGCAAAGTCAAGTGGGTCTTTCGTAAGCAGTCATCAACCGGCCTATTTGGTTTGATACAACTTTCCAAGTAAGTGAAGCGATTAATTCACTTAAACTAAGAGTTGGTGACTACGATTTTTAAACCGTCACCTTACGTTTGGCAGGTGCAAAGGGCGCTCAAGATTTTCTACTTAACATAGTAATCCGGGAGCCAATGAACTATGCTAACTCAAACAGTTTTCTCGTATGATCCCATCATTTGGAGGAATTGATTAGATAGTGATAAAATTCAAAACAGCTTACATCATTGTGTAAATAGTTTGAACTGATATGGGTTTGAGGCCAGTGTCATATTGCTGCTTGAATAGGTATGTGATAGCAGTAATATATTTTGCTTAGCAAACGACATCCTAACTGTTTTTGCACTGTGAGCACTAGTGGTTAAAAACATCAACCATAAAGACTGTATAATTCTTACTGTATGGATTTATGTCACTAGTGGTAAGCTTCAGAACACCAATTCAACACAAAAGTCGTGTGTACCCAGCCTCAGTACCTAAGTGTTTGTGGTCTGTAGTCATACAAAGCTAATCCATTTCTATTCCTAGTGTCTCAAAAAGACATTATCTCTTACGCTATGAACCGTAACGAAGTAACTTCTCATCTGCTGCACGAAACCCTTCTGATCATCACTTACTTTTCACTCTTTTCCTTTCCATTGTCGTTCCTTTCACCCTTATCGCCAACTATGTTTTTGACAGTTGAATCAAATTGTTACCCTAGTATTATTGGCGGTTCGAATCAACGGCATACCACTCCACGATGAGGGGAGAAAACGGCTAATAGATAAACTAATTTGATGATCTTCTCTAATGACTGCAAAAAATGGTTGGTGGTGAAGTCAGAAGTGATTACAAAGGTATATTGGCCAGTTGATACTCTGAAATCATTACAGTTTATTAAACAGAAGATGCTGGTTATTGAGAATACTGATGAGAAAGATCATTACCTGATAACGCCGTAGGATGGATGGTTGGAATGTTAAACGGAACGCTTTGAGGTGTGGTTCAACTAATTGATAGCTACTTCATTTTCCTACCATTTATCTTTATCTGGAATGTAGATACTTGAGTCTTCCAGCTGTCTTAGAAGTTAGGAAGCATTTTTCAGATCTGATATGGGATAGATTAACAAAACCTGGCCTTTCGAAGACTTTGCGCATAATGACCAGTAAGTATCGGCTAAAAATAATCAATCTACTAGTTGGTGTCAAAATGATCTGCATCACTGATCATTTTAGTCAATGAAAAAGAGTAGAGAAGTCTTTTTATGATTCAATGATCCTCAGTCATTAGACTCTTAATTGAAGTTTTGGGGTGAAATACATCAGTTTTCAATTAGCATCTGTTGGTGGACCATGCATCACTATATAATCTCCTGCTGTTAGTATAAACTAAGTGGCTGTTCGTTATCTCGAAAATAAAGACCATTCTTGTCAGAATACCTTTCTGTACCATCTTGCATCCTTCCAAGTGAAGCCATAAAATTGTGGATAAGATTTATAGTTCAGGGCAAAGATGATTGTTTGGTATTCCTCGAGTTTTGACGTCTGAGCGTAGAATTTTCGTCATTAGATTGAGTGAATTCACTATCTGTAACTTCTGTATGATAACTATCACTTTTAATAATATTAAACTAAGCATATATTATTCTAATAAGCAGTATTGTTTCTAATCGATCCTTCATCAGCTGTGTAACTCGTGAGGCCAGCAAAGCTTTGTCAGTTTTATCTTCCTATCATCGAGATTATGAGAGTAAGGTAGAACGTCAAGTTGCTGATCCATTGAATCGTCTTGTTGAAGAGACCTGTGTCAATATCGCAAAGATAAACGCAATCTACAAAAATGTATGACGGATGTGCGTAGTGCACGAGGACAATTGCAGAAAACTATGCAGTGTATTCAAAGTGGTACATCTCTAGGTTATCCTGCATCTTCCAATCCATCTGTGACAATAGATGCTGTCAATAGAATTGGCCAGGCTCAGCATCAGTTGGAAGAGAAAGAAAGTGAATTGGAATCATCAAAAGTATGTCATGCGTAAACTGTGTAAAAAGAATCCCATTTACTTTCATTACTGATAGACTGGCTATTATTTGTTTATCACCTAACTGTGTGAAATTTATCGTAAAGTTGTTGTAGGTAGTAGATGTTTAGATAGAGATGTTCTTTGAGATGAAGTTGTTGAACCGTAGCATAAGAAAATCATTGTTGTCCATAAAACTTATAACCTAGTCAGTCACTGTACAACAACTTTAACGCTTAAAATTTCGTATAAAAATGATTTGTAAATACGTACAAGTAAGTTGTGCACTGATTACATTATTTTTCCATAGGACAATAAAGACCTCGTCATTCGGTTAACCATTTCGTGCAACACGACGCTCAGGATTTTCCTGTTACATTAAAAATCTTTTCCTTTGTTACAAAAACCAATCTTAAAGCAAGACATCAGTAACAACGGTGCTGTGACACTATATTTACACTATTATTATATATTATTTTTCTAGTTCAGATAATTCGCCTTTTTGGTATCTTTGTGAAATGTGACAATATTGAAATGATGAGCTTTTTTGTGCAGAAGTTCGTTTTCATTTGTTTATTAGAAGCAGGAAAACAAGTGTGACAGTCTTCACAGTAAGCGAAAGTAATTCAAATGCCATAGTTCCATTTATTATATTATGAACAACACAGTGACTGCGAAATAAATAAATAAATAAATTTGGATAATGTAATTAGAAGACGTAGATTATCTGAAAAATGTGATGTATTAGCGCTATACATCACATTTTTCAGATAATCTACGTCTTCTAATTACATTATCCAAATTCATAAAAGGGACTAATTGTTTCAAATATATATATATATATATATATATATATATATATATATATATATATATATATATATATAATTCCATAGCCTATATAGTTAATTAGCACCTATCGCAGTCACTGTGTTGTTTATAATATAATAAATGGAACTATGGCATTTGAGTTACTTTCGTTTACTGTGAAGACTGTCACACTTGTTTTCCTGCTTCTAATAAACAGATGAAAACGAACTTCTGCACAAAAAAGCTCATCATTTCAATATTGTCACATTTCACAAAGGTACCAAAAAGGCGAATTATCTGAACTCGAAAAATAATGCAACAAATGAGAATGATATTCGTAAAGCAAAAAGTGTTAACAATTTCTTGAAAACTGTGATGAATACACTGCATTAACGTCATCGACTTCCGTTCATATCACTCAGTTATTGATTCTTGAGTTGCTCAGGCAGGTATGCGATGTTTACCTTGTTCACTTCATCCGCCATCACATAACAGGGTAAGTGGTGATTCAGTGAGCATAGCACGTTTCCCGACCGACTTAGCACAGATTTCTGAACACATCGAGTTTTCTGGATCTTAATACCCAACTTGTAGCTGCACTGTAGACACGCTTTTATACATAATCCACATTGGCACTCAATGTCAGACTTACATTGTGTTTCTATGCTGTATGCTGAGGAAGGATATATTTCAAGTTAGATTCTTTCTGTCGTCACAACTTCATATTGTTTAGATTGTAATTGAAAATCAGAGGATATAAGATAGTTGTTTTTGCCATATTTTGTGACACCTTGGCAATAAACATCCGTATTGGATTGATTGGCCAGGTAAACTTATGATTCAATCTGGTGAGGAAGCGAAATTTTAGTGACGGAAATAGTCAACCTCAACTTTTTTCGTGATGTTTGAGAAATTTTAATTTGATCACATACATGATGTCACCATAATAAAGGACTTTGATGTCTTCACAAGCTAAGATTCCCAAATAAAAAGTATAAAACTGTTTTCTGGTCAATCACTGATAAACTTTAAAAATTAATTCCTCAGTTAGTGCATTCTTTGGCTTTTTAGGAATTCGGAAACAGGTATTATCGTACACCAATTGTAACAATCAGACAACGATAAAGAATGTTTCCACACACTTTCAAAGTCTTATTAGGCTGAATTGTTGTACAGTCTTTAGAATACAACAAAACAAAGGATTTTGTTAACTCATTCACTTTTGATTGTACTTTCCTTCTTCATTAAAGGAACAATTACTTCGTGATCTATACACATTTGCTGCAGATGAAGAAAGTCATTCACGTCTTATTCTTGAATATTTTCAACTCCAAGAAAGCTATCTGTCAGAAAGTTTGCAGTTAGTTCAAAAAGTGGTTGCTGATCTATCTCAAACTATTAGTAGGTTGAGGTTATCTGTATTTTGTCTTTGGTAATTTTTATAGGATGAGTCTATATATATATATATTATATATATATATATATATATATATATATATATATATATACACTTTACTGTGGTGCGGGTTCGGACAATCGAGGGAACACCAGTGCCCTCATAGTTGCAGGTACCGCCTTACTGATGAGTGCCAACTAACACGAAATCTATCTAGCTGACTCTAACAATCTAAAAGTTCTCGACTGTGTTATCTTTAGGCAATTGACAGTCAATTTGTCATGCGCAGTGAAAATTGTCTTCCACACTTAGTAGTTAGACATCCCAAGGTGTGTTGAAGCGATCTTTCAGTGCCTCCTGACTTCTAGTTGTTTGGTTTGACGTGATAGAAACTTTTAGTAGATAAATCGTAGAGAGTTTCAACACTATTGACATTTTTTTGATGTTTCGAAGAAAAGTTATGGTCTGTGCAGCTAGTTTTTTTCTCTATGATAACAGTAACCCGCATGACACAATGGTACAGTTTCAATAAATCAAGAATAAAAATCATCGGCGAATAATCTGAGCCTCATCGCATTCTTGAGATCTCCATTTCAACCCCTGAATATATCGTGAATGTTTTACTGTCAAGAGTGAAACAACTCTCATATTTCCTGCATTTCAGCCATCTTTATGTCTAATTCCACACCAGTTGTTCGTTCGGAATAACTTGAAAAATTCTCAGAAGTTAGCTAAATCATTGTTGCTCCATAACCTGAAACCTAATCATTGCGTATGCAACTACTGCCTAGTGCCACCCTTGCAACAACTTCAGTACTTGTATTTGTTACAATTTCCCCCATTTTTTTTTTACCGATCTCGACTTAATTTGATCATTCTAGAACACTACACGGTTACATGGCATCTTCTTTCCTGTTCTTTTCTCACTCTTTGTCTTTTCGGCTCAGTGGCACTTTCCTAAAACTCACTACTATTGTCTGATTGGCTTCACCTGATTTTTGTTGAATATAGACGCAACTGATACAACTCCTGAAACACTATCATCAGAGCGAAGGTTTTCTTCAACATCGCGTCTCTGTTGCATGCACACGAATCAATTTCAGGCCTTTAATTATTCATCTTGATTTTCAGAGTAGTTTGTCACTTTGTTTTGTAGTTTCTTGCTGTGTGTTGTTCCGGTAATGAAAATCAGTCCTGAAATTATCATATTTAACTATGTTGTTATCAACCATGTAGAAGCATTGATTACTTGATCATCTATCCATTCTTGGTTTAGTTAATCATTGAATCGAGTTTCTGTGAACTATCTTCTTCCTAGCTACTTCAGTGTGTGCTTTGAACAAACTCTACACCTAAGTAGAAGAACATTGGAAAGTCGTTTTCAGTCAAAAATACCTTTACTGGGGATATCCAAAGGCTATTCAATCTAGAGATCCTAATAAATGTTAAGCCTGCCCACTCTTTAATCGTGACGGAATGAAAACTCAGTCGTTAGAACAATGCGTCAAACTAGTCTAGTGTAAAAGTAGTACAGTTTGTATGAGGTGTATAGTAAACTGTAGGCTTCCCTGTTTAGAATTACCATTTGCCACAGTACCCAAGTTTTAATGAAAATCAGCTTTATAGACAGAGAGAGAGAGTTGGAAAGTGTAGATAAATGAACTTAAACTGGTTTACTCTACTCCTTTAGCAATATTTCAACTAAGCCAAATACTGCCTCGGCGGTTAAATTTGAATAGTTAGGTGAGCGGAATACACTTTGAGTTCGTGATATAGTGGTTGTTAGTAATCAAAAGGTCAGTTTATTACCTCAGCTGTAACTAAAGGATTGTCATCGTAAATACTTGCCACATTTTAACAACCTATGCTCCATATAATCTAATCAGATGGTTTTTAATGCTGATATTCGAAGTCTCCTTTCTATTGAATGTAGGCAACTGATGAAAAGAAATAACTTGCAATTACTACATTCATGGTATCTAATCAAAGTTACTGAAAGACCGTAAAGCTTGATAAATATTCCGCTGTAAAAACACGTCACAACTTTGTAATCATTAATATTCTTCCTGGATGAAATTCAATCAAAGCTCAGCATATGATAATTCACCATTACGCCATGTTTTATTGCTCATTTGTGTCTATCATCTGAAATGCACAGTTAAGGGAACTTTCATATCCTACTAAACCTTACTTGTTGACTTTGTGCATCAACTGAAGTGATCAACTCACCTTCTCTATGAACACCGCTGTGAAGCTGTCCAGTAGTAGTAATCACCTGTAAGGCAACTTGGAGTTAATAGAATGAGTTTGTAAACCTAACCCAATGGGTTCACCACTAAATGACTAATTATTTCACTGAAGTACTGTAATTTATACGAACAATGTCAAAATTGTTTGTCCTTTTGAATCAGGTTTGAAAACAGCCCCCTTCTTGCATTTGGATTTTATATTATTGGTTTTGGCACAGTTTAGACCGACCATTTCAGTGGAATTGTAGTCAAAAAAGTATCTAGAGTAAGCTTATTCTTAACTAGGAATTTCTTTTTGTATATCTGTTATTGTTGTGCTTCCTCCATATCTCTCTTACGCACACAGAAGTTATCCACTACACTTAGTCGCAGTAGTAATTGTTGTTGTTTATTCTTGTTCACTTTTCGGTAAATGAACGCTTATATGATTATTAGTTTGACTATCTGAGATAGCTGTGGTCTAGCAGACTTGTATTGATACTGGGTGATGATTGAATGTAAATGAAAACTTGTGTCGTGACCAGATTCGAACCTGTGGTCACTGCGTTTCCGGTCCGGTGCTCTACCATCTGGGGCTGGACTGCTGATCAAACTTCTACGTCACTTCGCTCATTTAATTAACGAAACATCATAAAAAGTATGGTTTATGTGTGATTACATCTTTAAAAGTTGGTGTTACTTCCTTGTTTGCTGCCAGCAAAAATAATTAGATTGTGCATCTTCATCTTATGTTATGTGATTGTCGCCAACTCAAAACTTCCTGATTTCTACAGTGTATAACTGAAATAATGTAAAATTTGTTCCAGCTAGGTCATACTCAGACATATCGTCATCAAAGTGTCTTTGTGAAGGAGAAAAGCAACTTGATCAAGCTTGAGTTCAGCTGAGTTCGACATGATCAGTCGGTCTAAAAGTGTGTGTGTGTTTAACTAGCGTGGGTGTTATTCATTGTATTTTATTAGGACATGTGTAACCTAAACGACCCGCCTTGTGCGCTGCATATGTTCGCCACCATTTTCTAGTTTAAACTTTTCTGCGTGAAAATTTTTATTGTCTAACTCACTGGTTCACTGCATATATGGATTCTAGATCCAAGAGTGAAAGGTCTTCAGCTTGTGTGCACATTCACATATATTCAACTGGCAGCGTAAGAGCAGCTAAGATCGGCTAACTGACTGACAGTACCGCGTTTTCGCTTTAAAGTAATGTTGTGAATAGATCACTCGTCTTGTAATAGGTATATAGCTCATTTAGTTAAATTTTACGTAGTCCTTTTCCAAACCTTAACATTTTATTTTGCCTTGTAGTCTGAGCTTACTAACCATTTGTTCCCAGTTTATTGATAACATGTTGGTCATCGGATCAAAAAAGAGTTCCATTCCATTAAGTTTTTCTTTGTTGCCAAACTTTAGTTTTTCACCTCCAATGAAATCTGCTTTTTATGTGACTGCCATAATTTGTTTATGTTTACTAATCCCTAATTGATGGTAAGAAAGGCGCAAATCACCAATCCTATGCACTTTCATGCATGAGCTATATACTTGTTGAGGTCTAGTGATACTATCTGGTTGCCCAAACGTCCATAAGTAAGGTGGAACTTGAAAGCCTGGTCCACCGATCAAGAGTTGAGCCTTTAGACCAATAGTGCAGTACAATGTCCTAGTTTGGAGCTCGTCAATACTGCGAACCTATGGCTTCACACTGAAATCGGTCACAGAACCACTGGGTATTGGAACTAGTGCAAAATATTCAATCAATGAGTAAGAAACTTACTTCTCCGCTTTACTGAATTGTTTTCGTACAATGTTTAAGAACTAGATACCCAGGAAATATCCTTACTTTCGTGCAGTAGATAGTGATCCAGAGGTGGTTCTCAGTGTAGATTAGCATCTATAGAAGTAAAATTGTTTCGTTGTAATCTCTCACTTCTCAACAGTGAGTACCTTGAGGAGCATGTCATCATTGAGTCAATGGTTCAGCGTATGTTTACTCAATCAGTTTGCAAAATAACGCACTCCTACTAGTCCACGATTTCAGTGGGTATCCTTTTTTTACTCTTGTTTTGGTTTTATCTCACGAGTTACAGTTCATCGTTAGAATTTCGGGAATAGCATGTCTTAAAACGAGTTATTGTTCAACCTTCTGGTTTGAGGAGGATTTATCAGTTTCAAGATGAATAGCTTCCAGTATAGGGTGGTGATGTAATATAGTAGTAACACATTTTGGCATCTAGCATTTCAGCGGTTGATGTCAGTTTACAACTGAAATTATCTTCTCATGGTTGGTTATAAATAATGTCCACCTGATGAAGGTTCTACGAAAACCCACGGATACTTGTGGATACTTGGTTTATTGATTTCCAACGATTATGCATATTTAATTGACTGTTGTTACATGCAAGCACCAAGTAAAGATAACTATCAACTATTAAACATCAAAACATTTTTTAAACTTTGGATACAAGAAAGGTAAATATGTCCAAAGAATGTGGTTGTTTTTAATAACACAAGATTTCATTTTTGTTTGTCTGCTGTTTCACTGTCCATATGCACAGTCGTGTGCTTGTTTGCTTGCGTGTGTGTGTGTTTTCGTAATGTGTGAATGTATTCGGCTAAATAACTGAACCACTCTTGCAACTCTATGTCTATACTGCATGATAAAAGTCACAGAATTTAACGGAAAGTGTAACTTATGCCATCAGATTACATTTCGCTTAGATATGTATCTGTTTAGTTCGGAAAATCTTATCTTAGTAT